GGTACATACGTGTATGTATACAATGTGTATACTGTGCATACATAACAAAAATAAAATGTACTTATATGTACGATACTCACGTAGTCTTGAAAAGTTGATAGAATCTGAAAACATTTTAAATTGAATATATTTTCATGCCACTGCCACAGACTTTTTAGTTTTTCTGCACCGTTAGTCTGAAAAATATTTCCTGAGGAAAACCTTGCGCAATCGCCATAACAATTCCACCAGAGTTGGTAAGCTCTAACACAGTTATAGCATTCAATATTATTTTCTACCTATCTAGAGACCTAGAGTTATGATTTTGTCAGTACCTAGTACCTACCTACCTATATCATACATTAGATATATTTTTTTGAAGTTTCATATTTTTTAAATCTAAAACGGTAAGGGTTTATTTATTATTAAGTAATTTAAATATCATTTCACATTCTTCTAATAATTATTTAGATACCTATATTATGCAATGTTGTTAGAAACATAATATATCTGATAATTAACAATGAAGTAAATAGTAATATTAATACGACAAACTTAACCATAAACAGAATAACTCCGATATTAAATAATAAATATTATAGTAGAATTTACACTAGGTATCTCAGTAACTATTTAACTTATTTTTATGTATCTGCATGAGCCAGCGGGATACAGGGAACTTTCACGGTAATCCGCTGTTCAAAAATATTTTGTTATTATAAATATTTTGTATTTTTGATTCATAACGAAAGTGTGAACAAATGTTTACAATTTTAGGTTTCGGTTTGACTGATGTTACCCTTCTCGGTATCAATCCATCATCAGCAATTCGTATTTATAACTGGGGGTGGATTTGAATACAAATTAAATTTTTTTATGAATTTTTAAGTCCAAGCAAAAATTCGTTTCATAAATCGAAGAATTAGAAAATTAAATTTTTATTTAGCATTTTTTTAATTTTCAGAGAATTTTAAGCTGTTATTATTAGTGCATTAAATTGCATTTAGATCCACGCCTTATTAGATTCTGGCAGCAAGTGGTTTTACATATATGGTGTTTATTTTTTTATTATTCTGTATACAAAATTTCTACCAGGAGTGCTTAGGCCTTCGATTTCAACATATTGAATATTATCTATTAGCAAATTGGATCAAGATGGTACCTACTTTAGACAGGTTATTTTTCAATTTTCTCATTAGTTATTTAATGGCACGGTAAAATTCACCGACAAATTACGAAAAGCCACTAAAAATGGCATTTTAATTTCTAACGCTTTGCTTATCACCGCCATAGAAACGAATAAAAAATTATAATATCAATTCAACTTATAGGCTATAATAAATAATGACAATATAAAATATCCAGACTGACAAACCAGTAACCGCATCTCCGCTCAGAATCGTTTTTCTTACACAATGATAATATTATATCATTGAATTCAAGTTGAATACAATCCATTATACGTCGACCCACTTGTAACCTACTGTACAGCAGAGCGATATCCACTTACCCACTTTTTAGGGTTCCGTACGGTAAAAAGGGACATTATTACTAAGGCTCCGCTGTCCGTCACCAGGCTGTATCTCATGAACCATGAAAGTTAGAAAGTTGACATTTTCACAGATTATGTATTTCTGTTGCCGCTATGACAACACATACTAAAAATTCTAGAATATATAATATGAGCAGTGTCGCTAACATGTTTATAGCTGATGATTGTAGGGAACCCTTCTTGCGCGAGTTCGATTCGCACTTGGCCAGTTTTTATAACTTAATATTGCTTTTATTATACCTAACTGAATCGATTGATGTGACTCACATTATACACCGAGTGGCGAGTATGTTACATTAACTATTTACATAATATTAAACTGTACACAATGTATAATATTTTATTATTGATGGTTTAATATAGCTGATATAATTATTAAATAAGTACGGTTTAGTTCATGCAATATGTAATTATGCAATATTAATTCATAAAATTGAATTTTTCCCTTGTTTTAGATTCTGAGTGGAGCGAATAATGTATTGATTTTACAATGATCAGTTTTCTTTTATTATTTTTACTTTTTTTGTGAACGATAAATAGTCGAAACAATGCTTCGATTTTCAACTTCAGTAGGTTAGTAGGTAACAGGGTATCTTGTTCGATAGGAAAGTAAATCTAGTTGGTGCATTGGGGAGGTAAAAATTAAAAAAATTCCCAGCGCCTAGTTTTCAAAAACGCCGGGAAAAAAAAAAAAAAATTAAGGAAAAACGGTAGTTTCGACCGTAAAGCGTAAGATACATGCATTTTTCACTGAATGTTTATGTTATTATCATTTTCTGTACACCTTAACACTTTCAAAATATTTAGACTTGCTTTGAGCTGTTTACGGTTATTTTCAGTTTTTTTTTTTCTAAATATCAATAAAATAACGAAAAACAGATTTAGAAAATTTGAGTTGGATCAGTTCAAACGTCGACCAACATTTTTCATCCGTTGTGACGTTATAAAGTAATAAAAAATAATTAATATGTAATGCATTATAATATTAGGTAGGCACTCTATACTTAAGATAAATTACCAAACACATTGAGGAGGATCTTAAGTTGTTTTCTGAGAAAATTGAAGATGAGTAGAGGATCCCTCATTTATTCAAACTTTGATATATTTAAGTTTTTACATTTTGTGATTACGCTATGGCTATGGCCGGTCAAAATATTGATTTCACTGGATAAATAATTGCTCCAGTCCACCGCTGACTTTTTTTTATGTAATATTACATTTGGAAGATAAACTATTAGTTATTCTGTTTGATTTTTAATAATTATCACTTAGCTAGGGGCACTACATGTTCTATGATCCATGAAAAAATGCACAAATTTATAATATATATATATTATATTATTATATAACATATGATGCCTTCAAAAATCACTTGACCATAAGCGCAACCATGTGGAAGAGGGGCGTAACCACCACAAAATCACACATGACCCCTCGAGATAAATTAATCTTTAAACTCTGTTAATATCAATTCAAAATTAATAAATAATAATACAGGCATTTAGCATATTGCACACTAAAATACTAAAATAATGCACACGACATACACATATTGAACGCCAATGCCAACAATATCACTGCAACGTCGCACAATAATAGACACAAATTCATAAGTCATAAGGTATTCTATAATTTTTACTTGTTTAATGTTTAAGAATGTATTTATATTCTGTTGTCAAGTTTTATATCGACCTATTTCATTGTAGATAACTCATTACCGGCGCTATTCAGCCAAAGTTAAAAGTATATTTTGTACCTAAATATCTTTTTAAAAATGTTATCTGACATTTGACTTTAAATCTTTTAAATAATACTTGTAACAGTTGATGAACATTTTCATTGTAATAATAGTAATAGTAATAATCTATATATATAAAAATGAATGTATGTCAGTGTGTGTGTCTGTGTGTCCATGTTACCATGGTTACCAAGGTTGCCATGGTTACTAAGGTTACCAAGATTTCATATCAATCTATATATATAAAAATGAATGTATGTCAGTGTGTGTGTGTGTGTGTCCATATTACCATGGCAACCATATCTGTATATAAAAAACAGTAAGCTGATTGACTGCTATCAACGCACAGCTCAAACCATTGGACGGATCTGGCTGAAATTTGGCATACAGATAGCTATTATAATATAGACGTGCGCTAAGAAAGGATTTGCCAAAATTCGCATTTTAAATAGGTGCTGAAACAGGGACATTGAGATTCACGATAGAAATTGGAAATTTTATTTTTATTTATTTATAGTTGCCATTGGTTACAGTCTACATTAGAAATTAGCATTTATTTATTGGTTGCCATTGGTTATTCGGGCAGATCAGGTACAAGCTTGCATCAAATCGAATTATTGAACAATGCTTACCAGGGTGGCAGAGTTGCACTTACCGCAGAAAATTACACCCAAAAGGAGTTCAACAATCATAATTTTTTTAAGAGTTGCGATTTTTTACGAGCAACCAAATTTATTATATTAATCCACAGTATTACATCAAAATAAACTTGGTATAACTTTGATACTTTAGAGTTAAATCATACACTTCCGTACAAACAGCACGGGGTCCGCGATCTACCGCAGGTAGATTGCCTACCTGATAATGTACTGCTGCGATTCAGAATTTTTATTCAGGGCAACGGGAAAGATAAGATAAATTTTGAACACCATACACGTTAATGAATTGAACAAAGTTTGAGTAGGTAGTATTGAGTTGATCCATTTAACGGGCGACGAAGTGCACGGGATCAGCTAGTAAGTAATAAATAAGACATTTTTGGGCCAGTTACGTCACTGTATGTCAGAGACAAAAAATGTGTCAAATGTATGATATGTATTACAGGGCTATATTTTTATCACACATCGCCACTACTTTGACCATTCAAAATTATGTGTGCTAAACTTCTGTAACTTATACTTACCCCTATCCAACTTACATTAATTTTTATAAAAGTTGTATAAGATAAATAACTGTTTATACTTTTATTTGGTTTACATAAAACTTTTAATTAAGACTAAACAAACATAAAAAAAAATTAAGAATAGCATCTAGTTTGTATATATGTAATTTTAACACTACAGTTTTAATGTAACTTAACTAAATACCGGAATCTAAAATATTAAGGTTAACAGTATATTCACAAGAAATTCACAGTAAAAAAAAAAAAAAAAATTATAATAATAATAATTAAATAAAATAAACAATAGTATATTAGAAATTTTGTCTGGAAAATATCTATACAAACATATGTGTACTAGCATACACATATTATACATATTATACAGTAAACAACAAATTAATACAATTATATTAAAAGAATTTTTTTTTTTATATATATAAATAAGTGTGCAAATTATGTGTCTATAAAGGCTTTATTAAAACTAACAAAATGTCATGTCAATAAATGAAAATAAAATAATAATGATAAGACTTATATCTGTTTATTATATAATCTTTTCCATAAATAGGTCACGTTAATGGTTCTCTCGTGGTGTTAGGCAACAATAGGCACAAAAGCCCTCCGCCTAAATAGAAAAAAGAAATTGTTTTAAAATACTTACTGTTTTCTGAGTATTAATATTGCATAATTGTGTCATACCTATCAGGAGCACAGCTACAATGTAAGTAGGTAATGGACAATAGAGATCTAGCAGCGCAGCGATAACAATATTTCCAATAATACCTCCCAGTCTGGCAGCTACCATCGATATGGCCATTCCAGTAGCTCTATCGATATTAAAAGATGATGATTAAATATTTTCCATTTGAACTTCTTATCTTAATAACAAATTATATTATAACAATTAATCATATATTATTATACTACCTTAAATTTGTAGGAAAAATTTCTGTAATTAAACAATCCAACGCAGCATTACCGCAACTAATAGCACTACTAAAAATAGCAGATACTATCAAATTTTGTCTTTTACTAGTGATAAGTGACAAGCCGACAGCACATATTCCAGATGCCATTGTACTGAATACTAAATAAAAAGAACATTTTTTAATAATATGTAATATTTATAGACTTTGAGTTCATAGACATTAATTTTAAATTACCTAAAAAGAATTTTCTGCCCAATGTGTCCATTCCCAACACTGCAAATATATTACTAGGAATAGCAGCTGCCACTGTAATAAATGATTCAAGGAAAACGCCGCTTTCGATTTTATCTGAACATAAGTCCACATGAGAGTGCGATCCTGTTTTAACTACAAATTCAGTCACCTATCCAATCAACAAAAAATAAAAAGTTATAATAATAATTTATTAGTAACTCATCAATACTACATACTTCACACACAAGTGCTTGTTCACTACCATTATGGGCTCGAGCATATTCATCAAATCTATTAAATAGCTCTGGGAACCACATCATGAGACCATAATAACTAAAAAAAAAAAAATTTCAATTACTTTTCAATTTTTAAACTATCTTAAACGTAACATACCCAATATGAAAACTGAGGTTGATCACTATAGATATCCACGTGTACTTTAATATTGGTTGCATAAATATCATCTTAGTATTATGAGCTACTTCTTCAGTCATACTTTTAAAAGAAGTAGTTTTTTTAGTGTCATGTTCAATAGCATTAGACTTAGTTACCAATGATTTAACCTATAATTTAAAAATTATACGCATACATTAATCATCAGATATATTTTTTTCGACTTCAGATTTAAGTGTTAAATGTAAAATTATAAAGTTTAGTTATATTAAAGTTTTGGGCTTAGTTTGGCTATGTATACTCTGTTCAAAATAAGAACAGTAGTTGGCGGCGACGAGTTTTCAGACATATAGTCAGACGCCGTCCCCACTACGGTGACGCGTCGGGAGCTGCCATGGAACCCGCCACGCCACGCCCATGCACAGAACCCGGCCGCCGACTACTGTTCTTATTTTGAACAGAGTATAGTTATAAAAAATCATTTAGACATAAATGTTTATTTTGAACACTCAATTCAATGGTATTTTATTTCTACTAAATATTTAATACATTTAAACTGAAAAAATAATTTTTTTCCACACTTAAATGACAAATGTGTAGCAAGTCTTTACAACTTTATGAACATAGCAATTTACCATATTATATTATACCTAATTTTACATGTATATTAATTTAATTATAATAATTATAAATAAATTAGATCCAAAAGTTTTAGAAATCACAGCCAATAAATACATTGCATGACAATTGGAATTGACATGGATCTTACTTCTTTAAAAAAATATATTGAAATATTCTTAAACTTGTTTAAACTATTAATTTTTCTTAATATTTAATAAAATTAACATAATTTAATATCTCGTTACTACTTTAAGCAAGGTACATTAATATTTTAGTACTTTTATTATTTTTAAATTTTAATATAAATATTATTTGATGATATAAACATTTTATAGGTTCCACACTGACACTATAATAAATTAATTCAACTTACTGGGTACATTTCTGGATCATTTCCTGTATTGGTAGCATATATTTGCTTGAATACTTCTAATGCTTTTTTGTGATCGTTACGGGTCAATAGAAACTTCGGACTCTCTGGTAAAAAAAACAGGAACACAGCCACAAGTACGCTAGGAATAGAGCATATGGCCAAAAATATTCTCCAAGAATTGTATAAGAACGTAGGAGACCTGTAGCCAATATCTTGTGGTATGATGATCCATGCCAATGCTAAATAAATTACATACTATTAAGTTTAAAATTATTATTGCAATAATAATTTATGTACTTACATGCTACAAACAAATTTCCGAGTGTCCAAAATGCTGCCATTGAACTCAACATTGAACCACGTTTATTCTTAGGCTGGAATTCGGCAAAGTATGACCATATTACTGGGCCACTGCCACCCAATCTAGAATAATTAAAAAGTATGTTAGAAAATATTTTATTTATTGTTTTATATCAGCCACATTGACTTACGCAGCTCCGTTTAAAAATCTAAAGAACATGAATACACCGTAAGACTGTGCAAAAGTGGATGCTACAATACACAGAGCATTCATAAAACTGATAACAATTAATACTTTACGACGACCCAACGCATCAGCTAACGAACCCCAAATGTATGCACCAGCCATCATACCTAGAATATATCATTATTAAATATTATACACTCATTAAGTGCATGGTAAATATGTGCATTAAAATATGATCACACTAACCAATGAATATAATTGAATTTAGCCATCCTTTGGAAGACGTATTTAGCTTAAGATCACATTGGGCTGATGGTAATATGAATGACATGCATATAACATCCATTTCCTCACTGGTGCTGACGAAACCACACACGACCAACAGTAAATAATGGAATTTTCCATAACCTAAAGATACAAAAATGCTGATAATTAGAAACTGACAATTAGTTACAAACATAGAATATAATTGTATTGTTTTTAAAAAAAAATAAAATAATAACAATATAACAATATAATCAATTATATAAATTTGGAGATATTAACCTGACCTAACCTACATATAAGTCTATAGAAATATACTATATTTATAAAAATCTTTACAACATTTGAATGTTAAATTAAATGGAAAAAAAATAGAGAAACCACATATTAATATTATTTTTAATGATTAAAGGTGAAATTCCACCAATTGACTTGGTTGTAATTATTGTTAATCACTGATCAGTGATCACTTTACTTTATATTATTATGGTGTGATTTTATTTGAATGTTCTAAAATCAAGCACGTTCGATTATTATCGTTCACATCAGCAATAACCACTATAAAAATAACTAATAAGTACATAATATATAAATTATTATGTACCTAAACATCAAATATAGATTTTATAGATAATCTCCTGTAAAATGTCTAATTAATAATATGACATGACATCAGAATTTGCAATTACCAGTGAGTTCAATAGCTTGTTCGAAATCCGCCACCTCCTTGGTGGGGGGATACGAACCATTTTCGACGGCGTCTAATTTTTTATCGTATCTGTCTAACGTCCCGCCTGAAAACAAAGACAAAAACGCCACATGACATTTAAGTACACCACAGCGATAATAATGCGACATATGTACGATATTATACATCACGCCGAAAAAACGCGAACGTCCGATACGGACTAGGTACTTACTTTTGATTTTGAGATCGATAGTTTCTTGGTTTTTTACCCTGCCATTATTGAATTTCGTGTCTGGAAAAATGATTACAAACAGTACAATATTACGTAAAAAACCGTCGAGACTTGGAAATCGGCAGACGGAAATCGCCACCGACGACAGGGATAGACGACTTGGTGGAATATTAACGTTATGGTGACTGAAAAATAGAGAGGTGCGTGCATATTTTGTTTTACGAGACACGACGGAAAACGCCTAAGAGGAAAAACTCGCGGATGGTTTTCACTCGGAGCGGGGGTGTGTGATTTCGACTTGCAGGGGGAGTTGTTTCGCGGGTCGTCTGGAGATGATGCAGCAGGTGTGTGTGAAGAACGCGGCGAAGAAAAACGAAAATAGATACGCGTGTGTACATAATATTAATATGACTGTATATTTTTTTACCGCCGCCGTTGGGAGGGTCCATATCGTTGTAATAACGATCGTGGCACGTCAAAGGCCGAATTCATCAACGACTGCAGTTGGTTGAGCCCGAGAGACACCACGACGCGCCGCCGCCGGTTTCACTACTATACACGATATTATTATAGTGTCAAGTGTATGTCACATAATAATAATAATAATAATAATAATAACGATGACGATACGCGTATAATGTGCACTACAATTCGGTTTAATACGGTCTATGATAGTGATTTTTATTCGGTGTGACCGCCGCCGCAGCCTGTACGACACGCGGCGTACAGGATCAAAGTTCGAGCGGTCAATATAATAATAATAATTATTTATTATTATTATTATACTTCGAACGAACGTCGTTGCGCCACCGCTGTTGTGAGACGAGAAGAAGAAAAATAATGATGAGAAAAGACGACGACAGTTGTTGTGCGAGTCGGCAATTTAAAAGTTGTCCAACGGAGTAGTATCGTTTTTTTTTTTTAATATCATGGCAGTATTTTATTATTAATCGACGATGAGAAACGAACAGATTTTTGATATCATTTAAAAATAAATTCGGTGTACGCTGAAAATCTGATCGCGAACAGACACGATCGTGCACCGCCGAGATCGTCGTCGTCTTGATAATAAAACGGTCGTTTTTTTCTTCTACAACTCCGGCAATATCGCTCGCAAACGCGTGATAATATTATTACTATGCAACGAGATAAGAGTAAATATATATATATATATAGAGAGAGAGAGATTGAGAAGAATCCGTACAATGGCATTGTTTTCGTGTGCATGTTATACTATTATTATTATTATGTTTGTATTATATTATTTTTTCGCTTTTCGATTATGATCGAGCCGAGCCGAGAGCGCACGGATTCACGTGGAGGCGGCGGCGGCAGTGGTGGTGACTATACAAGTGGTCCGAGACTTTATTACAATACAACCATGAATGGGCAAACGACATAACATTATATTATATTATAGTATTATATACGCATGGGAGGCGGGTGTGTATTATTATATTAATATTGTATTAGGTACCTACCACTATAATACGCGTTTTGGAGGAAGAAAAAAACTGCTATGAGTCCAGGCCGAGAAATAAACGAACATCGACTACACGCGGTTTTAGAGGTAACCGACATAATTTCCGAACGGCGTAGGTACGTTGTAACAATAACGGTTTTCGTTCACTATGCTTAGTTTTTATATTTTGAAAACTGTAACGAAACTCATCACAACAGCCCGGTTAGTCTGTAGTTTGTACGGCGACATTAAGGTATATCGTGTCTACACTCGTCTATATAATACCGCCAATTAAAATGCTATTATGACACATATGAATTCATTACGATCGTTACATGTCATATGCGTATAAAATATAATATTATATAATACCAATATCACAACAGTTATTCTTAATAAATTTATAAAAACACGTTAAACGAAATTCTTGTTGGCCGAATTTCAAAAAATAAAAACAGCGTACATAATTAATTTATGCTGGTACATCCTTAAGACGAACCGCACGTAAAAACAAACCAGTGTTACGCAGAGCTACCTACGCAAAATAAGTATCACAAAATAATAACAATCGGGGTATTCGGTGGGATCACGAAGAACAAAGTTCAAGATGATTAATGGGTACAACGTAGGTACCTATTATAGTAATATTTCAAACGACGATTTCGCTAATCTTTTACGGATTGTCTTGTCTTGTTGTATTTTGTGAGCAATACGCAGATAAATTGCACTAATTACTACTATTTAGCTACAGGTATCATGGTAGACCATCGGTGTTTTTTTTTAACTTGAAGGCGTTTGTGATAAAACGTACTTACAGTGTAATTTTAAGACACGACCCAATGACTTACTACGCTGTACATTCCGTGGCCGGTCATGAGATTTTTGGAAAGCGGACGAAAAATAAAGCGTCAATGTCAAATTCTACATTATCTCGTCACGTACATAACAACGTTTGATGGGGAAAAAAAGAGAGGAATATAAACGTTTTAAACTACCGTCTGTTTATTTTACAATATAAAACTAAGTAATTTTTTTTTTTACCTGGACTGTTAGATCCACTATGATCTACCACCATTTTAGTGTTATTGGTCGGCAAAAACCGGGCCGAGACTCAGGACGTGCTCGTATCTGTCGGATATCATAAAACTGGTATCATAACTTATCTCTGACCGGTCGTGTAGATGAGAGGTATTCCGGATGCGACGTCGATTTCATCTGCAAAACACATCACAAATTCAAAACGCCGATCAAAAATATTTGAACGAAAACTCGCGCTTCCGACCGACGTGCAAGCCGAATTCTCGCTTTACATAATAATATCGTTATCGTAATAATTTTTTTAAACAAATTCGAGTTTACATAATATTATATTACTAATAACATCATCAAATCGTTTTAATACTAAAACATAATACGTACGTCGTACGGCGGGGTACGTCCGCCATAATATTATTTGTTTATAATACTGAAAACGGTTTTGCGGGAGGAACGGCGAATTTTAGACTTTAACGTTGGTAAGTTATAACTCGGAAACGACGTTCGGACGGACCCGACCAACGAGTGTACGACAACAATAATAATATTAATATTATACACGACGACCGCGTTGGATGCCCGTTGACCGACACCACACTACTACTACTACAACTGGTATAATACTACTACGGCGATGATGTCTGCTCCGGGAAAACGCGAGTTGGGTCCCGAGATATTTGATCCCTTAAAAAAAACACGAGTTGGGTCCGCGGTATTATTTTAAAATACTCGAATTGGGTCCGCGGTATTATTTTATAATACTCGAATTGGGTCCGCGGTAATATATATATATATATATGTATATATATATTATTATTATTATTATATTATTTTAATAAGATATTAACACGTATAATATTGACAGCACGTGTCAAGGTTAGAAGTGTCCATCTAATAACATTTTTTTTTTTTTACATTTTGTCTCTTCCATATTTATTAATATATTTGGTTAGGTATATCCATAGATATAACCTATCATATCTTATCTTAATAAGACGTATACAACGTAACCGGACAGTTGTCGCCGGATAACATATTAATGTAACTTGCCAGTATACCGGCACATGTCAACGCTAGAAGTATCCATCTATTAGAATATAAAATAAAATAAGTATAGTGTTTTGTAGTGTTAATATTATATAAAAATTAAATTATGGATTTCATGTCAAGCGAAAAAGGTAAAAAAATTATCATTGAAGACGGATTTAAATTTCGCTTCCACAAAATGTTGCGGAATGATGTACAACGTTGGAAGTGTTATCTTAATACATGTAAGTGTTTTTTAAAATTATCGTCCACTTTAGACATAATAGAGAAATGTAACGTTCATAATCACCAAAAATGTGATGAAAAGGTTCTGAATAGACAAAAGTTAAGTAACTCGGTTAAAAGAAAAGCACAAGATGATATTTCTACACGACCTTCAAAGCTCATTAGATCTGAGTTAAAAAACAGTGATATACCTTCGATAAACACTAACGATTTGAAATTAATAAGAAATAACATCCATCATGCTCGTAAAGTACTATATCCAAAATTACCTAAAAGCATCCATGAAGTACATAATTGTTTAAGCACAATGAACATAACTACCAACAAAGACGAACAATTTTTATTCTGTAATAATTTGGAAGATAATATTATAGGTTTTTCAACCGAGACAAATTTTAAAGCTTTGTGTGATGTTACTAAAATATACATGGACGGTACGTTTAAAAGCTGTACGAAATACTTCTTACAACTTTTTACTATTCACGGATTTCGAAATGGATTGTATGTACCATTGGTGTTCTTGATATTACCCAATAAAACATTAGAAACTTACACTAAAGCTTTCCAGTATATCGTGAGTTATTGCACATCTCTTCAACTGAATTTTCAACCTACCCAAATTTTTGTCGATTTTGAGGTGGCAATTCATACGTCTGTCAAGTGTGTTTGGCCAAATGCTATTATTAGGGGTTGTAGATTTCACTTAGCGCAAAGTTGGTGGCGAAAAATTCAACAACTTGGGCTATCGAAGGCGTATAAAAGTTCCAATAATGATATAAGTGACTATCTTAAGTGTATTTTTGGTTTACCATTTTTGAAACCAGAGGAGGTGTTTGATTGTTTTATTGATGACTTAATGACTATCAAACCAGTAAATACAACTGTAGATACATTTTGCGATTATCTACTGAAAACGTATATAGAGCAAGATGCATTATTTCCACCTAATATTTGGGCCGAGTTTGCAGCAACCACAAATCGCACCACAAATAGTTGTGAAAGTTATCATGCAAAATTAAATGCTAGTATCAGTGCAGCTCACCCTAACATTTTTGTTTTAGTAGAAATGTTACTTGGGATTCAGAGTGAAATCTATGTATCACTTCGGAGCTCAGCCACACAGCCAATCAAAAAAACCGTAGAAAAAGAAAATTTTTTAAGAGAAAAGATGCTTTCTTTTACTAGTGGAGAATTGACGCGGTTAAATTTTGTAAAAGAAGTGTCATTTAAATTTATTCCTTAGCTTATATTTATTTTAGTACAAATATTTATTACTTATTTTTTATTTTCTAAAATTAATCTAATTACTTAATAATAATTTTAATATTTTAATAATTTTTACATCAGACCTTAACATAACAAAAAACAAAATTTTTGGGAGACATTCTAGCCAACCTCCACGTGGTGTCTCCTGGGTAACGCAAATAGGCTAGTCCCAACTCATGTACTCCATAAAATATATCAGGACCCAACTCGTGTACTCTATAAAATATACCGGGACCCAACTCGTGTATTACATAAAGTATACCGGGACCCAACTCGTGTATTACATAAAGTATACCGGGACCCAACTCATGCTGTTTTTGAAATCTGGGACCCAACTCGAGTTTGTCCTCTGCTCCGACGACGACGATCGCGACGACTGCGACGGTACACACACGTGTGTGCGCCTTATATTATATTATACTATACACACACACGCGCGCGATAATATATTATATACAGTATTATTATTATTATTATTATTTACACGAGCGCTCGTAATATATTATTAATAATAGGTGCAAGTACGCGCCGCTGAGCGTTGGATCGACACGCGTCCGTCGGCCGGGTTCATTAGAATGTGGAATGAAAGGCTGCCTGTGCGAAGAGCTGCTGCTGCGGAACGAGATTTATTTTTATTTATTTTTTTAATTTTATTTTTTTTTTAACGCGGCGAGCGGACGGAGTGTGCAGAGTGCAGACCTTGAAATGGACAGCCGCCTCGGGCCTCGTACGAAAATGAGATTGTCAATCGAACTCCATACGCGCGCGAGTATATAATATAAATATAATATATTATATTATTATATAAATACTCACACGTACGCGCACACACACACTGACACACTGCACAATACACGTGTGTGAATAACTACTCGTATAATGGCACACGCTAATGCGGTTTTGCACCGGATATTTATCGCGTTGCCGATCGGAGGATCGTTTTTAACGGACCCACTTAAAACGACAACAACTATAATATTTAGCACATTGGTATGATATTGCTATGCTGTACAGACGATAATAATAATTAATATCATCGATCATGTTTTAACATTTTGATATGCACACGAACCAAGTGTGTATAATATAATAATATTATATTACACGCCTATGTGTGTGTGGCGAATTCCTCTAAGCGCAAACTCGATTTAGATCGGTCCGATTTTAAAATCGCACGGTGGCCCGCGGACTTAAGCGCCATTATCGGACGTCGAGATTATAACACTATGCATACGCATTGCCAAAGAAGACGGCTACTCTTAGATTAGAGATTGGCTGCTGAACATAACTAATAAGTTAAGAGCAAACGCGAACAAAATAAAAAGCGAAGAATCGATGTGGCGAAGGATGTTGTCATTTTCACAACACCATCACGTGGTTCCCGTTTAAAATTACACTTTTTATATTGTTATTTTTGAGTAACATTACTTTGGTCGTCGTTTTTTATATGGTTAAAAATAATTAAAAAATTTAACATTTAAAACTGCATGACTATACTGCTTGAAAAATTTTTGTAGTTGATAAATATAATATATATTTATGTCTTAGGACGATAACCATAATATAAATTAATAATTTCTTTAAATACTGTCACTTATACAGCTACTACAACCTCTCATAGTAGTCAGTAGAACCATAATTTATTAGACAAATAATGAAAACGTCATAAGAACAATTTCATCTGAAGTCATGTTCTGTACTTCTGTTTGAGTCATATAATTAAATTCAATAAAAATATTTGAGTTATAAACAACCAACACATATTAACACTCGAATGATCTATTAATATATTTTAAATTAATAAAAAATTTTAAAGCGTAATTCCATAAAATATATACTTAGTTTATTCATTTTTCTATGTACAATTCCGAATTCAGAACAATAATATTAATATTTTTTAATTTAAAATTTTCTGAGCTCGCGTTGACGTCGGAATAAATAAAATTCTGGCAGAACACAATATTACATAATTTATACAAACAATATTGAGTTCTATAATACGGAACTAAAATAAATGAAACAAATATTTAAATTGTATGTAATGGTATAAGTTTATTATCTAACCATAATAATCAGAAAAATTGATATGGAAAAGTAGATAGTCCTTTATCTTAATTTATTATATCATGTTTACTTTCTAGGTAAACTTTGTATTTTTACATTATTACGATACAGAGCGACAAAAATAGTTATGAGAAACATAATTTATAAATAATTCGTCACTTTTAAACCCAGAATATTATTGGATTTTGAACCCGGATGTTATATTGGTGTATTTTCAAGAATAAATGTAATAAAATCTAATTTCATAAACGTTTTGTCATTTAATTACTTCTAATTAAAATGTAAGCTAATTTAAAATAGAATAAACTTAAATTTAAGGTAACACGAATAACTAGAACATCAGAACGAAAAATTAACGGACATTAATAATTTATTGTTATTTATATTAGAATCAATTTTAACTGATTCGAAATATTTATGCAGCATTGCAGCATCTAT